ACAGGGTCTTCAGCAGGTGATTTAGAAATTTGCATTTTAACTGCTTCATTCACAATATCATTGCCAAATGCATCATCGTGATCTGTCTGATTGGAAAATGGTTGACTTACGTTATCTGATCCTGTCCCCTCACGGCCTCTTTAGTCTTGCACTTCCCCCTGTGCTGGGCAAGCGGGGTAAGTTTCTTTGTGGATATGTCATGGCCAGGCTGTCTATTAGGACACTCCCTTTTGTAAAGCCCATATTGCCCACATCCAAAACATTTAATCTTTGCCTGCTTATCTGTCAGGGTCTTTTTCTGATTTGGAGGCACAAATGTGGGATTATTAAACTGTGCCATTTGAGACTGCTATTTTACAGTCACCCACTCAGTCACAGCTATCTTATAATCTTGTTGAACCTGTTGGCACATTGCATTAACCAAGTAATGTACCCTGAGTAGTGGATTTTGATTGTCTTTCTCTTGCAGCCGTGAATATCTTTTTTATGTCTGATCAAAGTGATAAATGTACTTTGATACTGTCTCCTGAGGAGTCTGTACATAGTTTATGACTTGCAAGTCAGACCGCACGTGTGATGCCTTATTCACTGACTTTTGAAAGTCCTCCAACCACTCAATCATTGATTTGTTGGGAGGTCAATCACCGTCCTCATCTGGATCAGGAAATTCAAAGTTTACTACAGTAACACCATTCCAATTTGTACACAGCTTCCAATATTTGCTTTGTATTTATTACAAGACAATTATAATTTCTGCATACTTGAGAAAACCAGTTCACAAAAACATTAGGCTCACGTAGGAGATCAGGCGATCTCTCAATCAAATCCCTAATTTCAGAGGGTGTCCATGGTTTCTTAACTTTAACATTTCCTATTCTAAACATAGGATATTGCCCACTTGGATAACCTTTATCTTTGGTTTTGTCTGCACTGCTTTTGTTATTCTATTCACATTCCCTCAGCTCATAATGCATTTCACTGTTGAGATAATCACATCCCTCATTTTCTCTCACTAGCTCATTCTGTCTAAGTAACTTTAGTATTTCTTTTAGCACTATCTTCCTTTGCCTGAAGGCTGCCCATTCACAGGCCCATGTGCACAACAACGAAACTTGGTGCCTCTGGGCCGGAGATTAGTGCTTAAAGAGAAGCTTTCCCAGACTCTTCTCTACACTCATGAACCCTTTTCCCACACTGCTCTACTACAGCATCTACAGCTAGTCTGAATAGTGCTCAGCAATATATTACACCACAAACTTTTATGATAGATAAATAGATAGATAAAATAGATAAAATCTACCTAGGTTTTCACACCAGCCTGTGATCACAGTCCACTCCCTGTGAAATAAAACCTTCTTCCTCTAAATGCAGTAAAAGCTAGGGTATCTGGTATAAAGTTATCCTAGTGCCACATCACCCTGTGGAAACGCGATAAGTGTTTCAGTAGGAAGTTCATTTTGAAAAATTCATTTGAAATCATTTTAGTTGAGTTACTTACTTTGTTCATCTGTGGTTTGTTGGTTCTCAAACATCTTCATTTTTTTCTGAAACATCAGCTACAACATTCATGAACTTCCCCAGCAGAGCTCTGGATATCACTCTTTGTTTTGTAGACGACTCTGGAACAAACACATTCACATCTTAGTACAACTGTCACACTCTTGTAGATGGACAGTCAAATATAATTTGTTTCATGGAAACAGTCCTTACATTAACTCTAATTTCAAATAAAACACCACAAACATGTTTTAACAGTGATGACATTCTAGTCCAGAGAAGCATATAACATCTTTAAAAAGTCTTACCTCCAGATCAGCTCTCATAAACCTCCTGCTCCACACTGTGTGTCTCTGCTCCTGTAACTGTCCTGTGTCCTGCTACATTTGAATTTTCCCTCCAAAGTTTTGGGGAGGAGAATTCCAGAGGGAATAGCCTCACCAGAAATTATAATAAAGTCATGTTTCCTCAACCTGATTAAAACATGCAGATCTAACATCGGCCACAGTCAAGAGACCTTTGCAAGATTTAAACATGCTGGACAGAGAAACGTAAAAAAGTCATGTTATTCTTGTCAAATTAGTTTTTGCAATTTGAGCAACCCCTCTCAGACCATTTTTTCAATGTGGCTATTAGTAAATATGAAATAAAAGCTTTACACAACCTATAACTCACTGTCCCTCGCATGTCCTCACTCAGTATTATGAGCTCTGGCTTCACAGTGTAAGAAGTATCTGGCTCTGTGCTAGATTGAATCTTTTAAGGCAAAATCTCCCTCCCTTTTCTCCAAAAAGAAGAATAATCAGCACTTACCAGATCAGCTATATGTAGATTAATTGTCCATGATGTTTGCTCTGAAACTGTTGTAAAAGCTTTAAGCTTGTCCAAGAAAGGGTGGAAGTAAAAGGCTGGAGACAAACTGGATGTCTTAAGCAGGAGAAGTTTATTTACCGTCAAGACTTGAAAAGTCAACATAGTATTATTTCAAAAGTGAACATTACTATGTTCACTTTTGAAAAAATCTTTGAGTGTTCAAGCCCCTTGACTACGTTTCTAAAGGAGGAGGTTTATAAAACAAATGTGGTGAGACTATGAAGGCCAGTAGGCACCAGATGGCACAATTTATATAATGGTGTGCCAATGGTATGCCAAGGGAAGATGATCATGTTACTCTAGCTCCTGTGAATCGATGTTAAACTGTGAGGTTCATGGAGGATAAATTACTTAAATTCTCTTACATAAGATACCATTTTCATTTTTGCACTGTATTTTCTTACCTCATGTCTTGGAAATAGCCTAGATATATATTTGTATTTGTATTTAATTTAACTAATCTTTTACTAATCTCTGGCCATGATCCTGCTTTTATTCTCGCAAACACAGTCTCATTCATACCCCAGTGTACTTCAACACTGGAGGCAAGGTGGATGGAGTGCCTTGCCCAAGGTCACAACAACAGAACTAAAATATATTTATCATATATGTGCTATAGAGACGTATTTAACACTGACAATAATGTATAACTGTTAACACATGACAAAGGAGACAGCAGTAGAAACCTGTCTGAATGAAACTAGTAGCATAACCAGTAAAACTGCACATTATTGACACCACAGTGCAGACGATCACCCTATAACAATACCATTCCAAAATCCCACCTGTCAGCAACTATTGTCTGTACTGTCATTACTGTACGAACACATCACAGAGTTTTCCAGCACATTTGTTGTGTTTTAGTACGGTATATGCTGAAAATGACAAATACTAGATAATACAGTTATGGTATGGGATGTATTCACACTTAGGTACTGTTCTGATGGTTCATCATCACTTCCAGTGTCACCTTTTTGCTTTAATTCTTCAGTGTCTTCACCTTTTACTGCAGATGACTGTAACTGTACAACTATGAGTGGAATTCACTTAGGACATGCAGGAGTTGTGACATTTCTGAAGCACAGACCTGACTCAAATGCCTCACATAATTTTTTGTTTTTAGTTTAATTTTTGAATTATTATTATTAACCATGGAAACATTTTCTTTTCCAGATATCTCCGGTTGGATCAGAAAGATCAGAAAATATGCGGAGTGTGGCTGAGTGGCTAGCATCACAAGAAGAAGGTTAGTTAGTTAATGAGATGGGGACAGTGCACAATATAATGTACATTAACCTTAACAGGAGAGACGCATTGTACCAGGTTTCCACCTGTAGGTTAATTGATTGTATTTATATTTATATTGCATTTGTATTGACCTTAGTCATCAGCTATTCTTGCTGGAGACATCAATGGGGGAAACCAGAGTGTGTGGAGGAAACTCCACACAGAAACCCAACCTGGGGATTGAACCCAGAACCTTTATTGTTGTGAGGCATGACTGCTAGCCACATAACCACTGTACTGCGGTTCAAGTCCTAGACCACCAGAGGTTTTCTTTGAGGAGTTTCTATCTGGCAATTTCAGCATTTTCTGGTAACTCCGGTTTCCCCCATCAACCCAAAACAAGTGCATGCTAATAGGTAAAATCCTCCATAATGTCCTCACCATGTCTAGCTCAAAATCTGGAGATGGGACCACAGTCGCTGCTCTGTTGCACCCACCCACAACTACACAATTACAGTTAAACTTGTTTCATCAATCAGCTTTTGTATACAACCCAAATGTAAAATTCTCATAATGAGTACTTTGAATAGTATTTTTCATGCACACGTTGTACTTTTACATAGTACAGTTTTGGCAGTAGTTATTTTTACTAGCACTGGAGTACATAATTAACCATGTGACTGTACTTTTACATTCACATTTTTCAGTATTCTTTCCACAACTGCACATGGGACATAGGATGGGCTGTATGGAATTAATTTACATACTTTACATTGTGTATATGTCATCGACGCAAAACTGCACTACAAAGATGGTGATGACATGTGAGTGTGATAACGTATGTGCATTGTATTCTAACAGTATTTAAAGCAGACAGAAGAGATGTAGCCCTGTTACAATGGACAAGTTATCTTAAAAGACAGCTTTGTGTACAAAAAGTCCCTGGTCAGCCACTAAAGAACCAACTGAATATTAAAGGTAAATGAAAAAAAAAAAAATATATATATATATATATATATATATATATATATATATATATATATATATATATATATATATATATATATATATATGCATATACACACTTTTGAAATGTATTTTATCATAGTGTTGTTATGTGTGTATGCTTTCTTATTGTAGATGGAGCTATACTTCTGTCTCCTGCTCTTTATGGTCAATCTGACACATGCATTGCCTATGTCCCCACAGCAAGTCAGTATTTATTTTGTGAACAGAAATGTAATATAAGAAAGCAATGTTTATATCCTTAATATTAATTATCTTTTTTTTTGACAGAAAACAAAGGAGACAGTTCCAGATATACTAGGAAAGTACATTCTTAGATTACATATATATTTATTTTATATTTCCATGTTTCTCATTCAAACATATGTCAATTAAATTTTCCAGACATTGGGGGAGACAAGGACATTACCGAAATAAACAAGGGTTTGGTTCCTCTTCTTATTCATCTATAAAATCTATTTTAAATAATGAAATTATAACTATACGTGTTCTTTTTTTCAGACTTGGAAGATGATATCCTTGTGGTGAGTGCACTTTGTTCAGTTGTCAAAATAGATGTGGTGGAAGAACTACTCAGTTTTGTTACTTAAGTAAAAGTGCAGATACTGGAGCCTCAATTTTTAGCTGAATTTTGTTGATTTTTTTATTGAAACAATGGAAATTATAGTTTTTCTAGCTGTTTTTCTAGTATTCAGTTTTTGTTTTGTTTGCTTATCCTTTTCAGCAGGTCTCAAATAATAATTTTATGTTTTAGTCCAGTTACAAAATGTAGTGGAGTAGAAAGTACAGATACTTTCTCTCAAATGTAGAGAAAGTAAAAGTATCCACTTTTAAATCCACTTAAGAAAATACAGATACCTAAAATTCACAATAAAGTACAGTACTTTATTACTTTTACTTGTTACATTCTACCACCACAGTTTCAGTTTACTTTTGATTTTTTTTAGCCAAAGGGCCTCCAAAGAAGTTCAGTCAACAGCCCAAGCAAACTCTGGTCCCTACCAGTGCCATACATTCTGGATAGCAGCCTGGGTAATAATGCTATTCAGTCAAAACCACACATCTTTTGTTAAAGTCTCTCCACAGATAATTATTTTGTTCTCCCAACATGACAATGCCAGAGCTGAATGCAAAAGGAGTCATAATGCAAGCAATGGACCAGTTCAGACTAAAGTCGTGCATTGACTTCAGTATTTGGAATGATGAGAAGTATTACATCTCAGTTCAAAAGCTTGGCGGGTATGTGTTTCACTAATCCTGCTGTCATGCTAGGTTAACTAAACAAATGAGAAAGAAAGAAAACTTGGTATGTCTGCCCTAGGTGTTATTCATATGTTGGACGGACATTTTTCAATGGACAGGATCTTTCCATTGGAACATACTGTGACTCCAAAGCTGTAGTTGAACATGAGTTTCTCCATGCTCTTGGCTTTTACCATGAACAGTCCAGATATGACAGAGATGAACATGTCACAATTCAATTCCAAAACATCATAGAAGGTAAGAAAAATTACATATTGTTCAGCGTCTCTAGGCCAACCATAATCCCTTGATGGCTGTGTATTTCAGGGTATGAAACTAACTTTGAAAAGCAGAGCGAAAAGTACACCACCAGTCATGGAGTCCCTTATGACTATATGTCGGTGATGCACTATGGACCTTTTGCATTCAGCAATGGGAACGGCTCTACAATCACAACCAAAGACCCAGCGTTTCAGGACATTATTGGTCAGAGGTTGGAAATGAGTTCTAGTGACGTGAAGGAGCTCAATCTTCTCTACAAATGCAGTGAGTAGTCTCAAACTCGCAAAGGAGAGACTGGGTTGGTATTCTAACTCATTTTTTATTGTTTATGAACAAGAAACAAACAAACAAAAACAGATAAGTGCAAATAGTGTGTTGTTAAGCATATTGAGTAAATGATTAAATCACTTTAGCAATAAAAGTTATTGCACACCTGCATATATAATATTGTCAGTAATAAAGATTATATACACAATCTTATACTGTATATTGTACATCAGGTTATTTTTTATGATTTATTTATTTCAAGCAGATTAATGAATACACCTTATCTTCATGCATGCCCTTATTTTTTTAGATTTTCATTTTTATATTAGTTTATATTATTATTCTTTGCTTATGTTTGGGAATTTCTTTTTATAAAAGTAATAATAATATTGTAAATTTTGCGTTGTCATAATGTAATATGTGATTTTTACATGTTCTATAAATACAAACGTACGTATGCTCCTTTCTGCATAGATTCCACCATCGCCTTCAAAATGCACTGCAGCTTCTCTGATGGTTCCACGTGCCAAATGAGTGGCTGTTCTCAAAGTAGTAAGGGATGGGAGAATGTTACATCAGCTCCAGGAGGCCCTGCCACAGACCATACCAATCTAATGGATCACAGCAAAATGGAGGGTATAAATAAAACAAATCAAAATAATAATCTTTGTCATCTGCATGCACATCACATCTTTCATAATAATTACAGATAAGATTCCAAGTAGCTTCATGCATGCCAGTACAGCCTTTGGTGTAGAGGGGGAGTCGGCGTGGCTGGAGACCAGTAGGATGACCCCCAATAGATCATGTCATGTCCAATGTCTGCAGTTTTACTACTTCCACAGTGGACATGAGTCTGACCAACTCAACATCTGGATCAGAGAGTTTCAGGATGAGAATGACTTTACTGGCCAGAGCCGGATGATTGGACAGATCACTGGTATGCTTTTTTTTAATACAATGTATATGCACATGTAAATATCAATAATAATGAGCAAACATAAAATATGAGTTTAGTTAAAGGTGCACTGCATAACATTTCTACTGAAGGGTCCTCCACCTGTTTGTATCCATGGAAATGTTATTGCTGTCTAATGTTCCACAGTAGATTAAAGATATATCTATCATGAGGGAGACAAGCAGGTTACAGCACTACCCTACATTACAATTCAGATCTGTAAAGAGTCACCACTAGTCACAGAAGAATTATTGTGTTTTTAAGAAAAAAAAAACACCTGCAATGAATAAATGCTAGATGGATATGTTTAATGTCATATTCCAGGAAAAGCAATAACATTTCCATGGATTAAAATAGGTTGCACAGTGCACCTCAATATGGGTTGTTATGCCCCTATTGTGTATTGGCTATCATTAGCATTGGCTAGCATTAGACTGGCCTCTTCAGTAAAAACATAAACTACAGGAAATTTTAAAACAGTTCCTCAAAAGTTCCTTGTCTGATTTTGCTCAATATAGTGCTGGTAGGTTTAGGTGACAAAAACATGTAAATGGATTGTCACATAGTTTGGCCTCATGAGTCTTTAATTGAACAATGCATTTTCTCAGATAAAAAATACAGATTTGTTTTTCTCCAGGTAATAAAACCTCTTATTGGAAGTACCACCATGTTTCTATCAGTGCCACAAAGTCCTTCCAGGTGGAGTTTGAAGTTCAAAAAGGAGCTGGGAGTTCCACAGGCGGCTTCTCAATCGACGACATCAACCTATCAGAGCTGACGTGTCCTCATGTAGCCATCCAGGTTGATGATTTTGAGAATGTTTTAAAGTCTAGTGATTACAGCTCATTGATTTTTAGCAAAACCCAATACACAGAAGATGGTTATGCATTTAGAGTGGCAACCATACTCTACAGAAGCTATTTTGGGTTGCTGATTCAACTAGTGGAAGGCAAAAATGATGACAAACTTCAGTGGCCACTCCTGAATAGGCAGGTTACCTTTCAAATGATAGACCAAAATCCCAACATTCAACTCCAAATGTCCAAGCAGAGAAGCATGACCAGTGATATCAACCAGAACATTACTGACGGTGAGCTTATATATATTATCTTGCTTTCTATAACAAACTAATTTAAAAAAAAATCTTCTTGTGATTAGGTGTCAATGTTTGGGACAATCCACGAAAAGTTGGAAGCTCAACTGTAGACGAGAATGGTCAGAAGATCTATGCAGGTCCACTGATCGGCAGAACATATTTTGCAACTTTGGAAGACATCAAAATGAGAGGTTTCCTTAAGGGAGGGAGCGCAGTTTTTGCCTTCACCTTCCAAGGTAGGCAACAAAAGTGAAAATGTACACTATAAAAATTGATTTTTAATTCTAATAAAAATATATTTTCAGACATAACTCCTCTCATCGATGGAAGTTCTCTGCCATGTTCTCCCCCACCAAAAGTGACTCAGCCACCAAAAACTGAAGAAAGGGAGCCATGTTCATCCAGGTATCCCACTACTAAAATTACAATGATCAAAATGTAGACTTCTAGATATATTGAAAACCCTATAGGCTTTAATCAACAATCATTACAAAAAAGTTTTATTCAATTTCGTCACTTCTCAGAAAAAATGTGCGCTTGATATAGCTTAGTTATATTAATCAAGGAAGACAAATTTAACACCAAAATAAGCCACAATTTATGACACGTCCAACATTACCAACCATGAAGTCCAGACTGCCAAGACAGTGACCAAATCAATGTCAAGCTAGAATGGATTCAAAGCCAAAAGAAAGTCATGACGAAAACAAAACAAGACAACTACAACTACTACCTCTTTTTTGCACAGATTCCAAACCACCTCTGCACCACTACCAACAACTCCTGAAACATCACCTCCTAAAGAAACTACAAGAACATCATCAACACTTGAAAAAGTAACAACCCCCCTAATAGAAACCTATAAAACAACTGGAAAAACAACGATTTCTGAAACAACTGAGAATACCAAAACTCCTGAAAAAACCACCTCTGAAACGTGTAAAATTACAACTTCTAAAACAACTGAAAAAACAAGTCCTGAAGTAACAGCTCTCAAAACAACACCCGAAACAACAATAACTACAGCACCCGAAACAACATCAGCCATGCCTGAAACATCAAAAGCAACCACTTCTGAAACAACAATGCTTAAAACAACTGAAAAAACAAGTCCTGAAGTAACAACCCGAAAAATAACAACTGCTGAAACATCAGTCTTCAAAACAACAGAAACAACACCTGAAACAACAATCTTTGAAACAACTGAAGTGACAATTCCCAAAACAACCGCTGAAACAACGAAAACAACACCCGAAACAACCATTCCTGAAACATCAAAAGCAACAACTTCTGAAACGACAATCCTTGAAACAACTGAAAAAACAAGTCCTGAAACAACAACTTTCAAAACAACCACTGAAACAACAAAAACAACACCCGAAACAACAATTCTGGAAACATCAAAAGCAACAACTTCTGAAACAACAGTCTTGGAAACAACTGAAAAAACAAGTCCTGACGTAACAACTTTCAAAACAACTGCTGAAAAAACATCAACCCTCAAAACAACAGAAATAACAATAACTACAACACCTGAAACAACACCAGAAACAACCACTCCTGCAACATCAACAACAACTGAAAAAACAAGTCCTCAAGTAACAACTCTCAAAACAACAACCGCTGAAACATCAATCCTCAAAACAACACCGGAAACAACAATAACTACAACACTGGAAACAACCACTCCCGAAACATCTAAAACAACTTCTGACACAACAATCATTGAAACTACAGAATTAACAAGTCCTGAATCAACAACTGGTGACAGGTACTCCCATGTATGATCTGAACTTTTCTTACCAGGCTTCATTCAACATTTGGAAACCTTTGTGTAAATCCATTCTAATCCTGTCAGCAGCCAAAAGTTTATTTAGACTAAATATAACTAGAGTATAGATAGTTATAATTTTACTGTAGAAGAGTGCAACTATTATAAACGTTCCAGTAACTTTTTATAAATAAAGCCTTGTTTCTGTACTACACTATTTTGTATGTGGAATACTATATTTTATTTTTTATATGTGTGCAGATTGAAAAGCACCCTTCCACCAACTACAACTTCAGCTACAACTACAACTACAACAGTAACGACAGCATCACCTGAAACAACAACCGAGGATAAAAGGTATAGAAGAATAAAATAAAATACAACATTAAACATGGTCTGAACATTAAAGTAGGCGTTTCATTTATTCATCTGGCTAATGGAAAAAAAAGTTTACAGTTGAAAATGCAAAAATGGTACGGTATGCAAACATGTTTAGAGATCCAAAACTGGAAAGAAATGCAAACATATTCAGAGATGCAAAAATGATATAATAGGAGCTGTTGTCTTTTATATGCAATGGGGGAAGGGTGGTTTAGCTAACACTGAGTTTATGTATTTATCAGCTGTTCTTTGGAAATTCGTCACAAATATAAATATAGTATGAAGACATAACAATTTAGATCTGCTGTCTCCAAAAACAGTTTCATGTCACAATTTTGTGTCTTTTGTTCTCCTGCAGCATTTTTGGATTGGCCCCACGTTTTTGTGTCTTCAACCTTCCTGATTATCTTGTCAACTGTCTTACTTGTGCTACACTGAAATGGATTGTGGCCCATCATCTAGATAAGCTTGACAAATGCAAAGAGGTCCTTCCCTTGAACTTAAATGTAGTGGGATGTTTTGAGATCTGTTTATAAAATCTTGCCAATTTAACCTTTTGTTTTTGGGTGGTGGGAATTTATTTTGTTTAGCATTATATGAGATTGGTGCTTTCTGTACACTCGAAATAAACTGCATTTTATTGTTGAAGCATTCGAAAAAATGCATGTATCTATGGTCATTTTATTGTAATGAATCACAACTAAATTTCAACTTTCTGTGTAACTTTAACTCAACAACAATATTTGATTTTCAGTAAACTGAAAAGGAAGGTAATGGTAGTTAGACCTGTTTTTCAGTATGTCACTCACAGAAATATTGAGGAATAACATCACAGTATCTTATTTTTAAGTTTGGATCATAGAGAATCTCATGATAGTCCCATAAAGAAAAAAAAAATGCACAAGAATTATAAAAGAGATTTACGGTAACAGGAATCTTTCCCAGTACATTTGACAAGTTAGCTGCAGTTTCAAAACACCTACATAACAGACAGCCACCAAGGATGTGGATGGTGGAAATATTGACCCCAACATGTCCTTTCTGGGTAAATCCACTTATATAATACCCTGTAATATAGTACTGAACAAACATTACCTTGAGAAAAACACAACTTCTCATCTTCATCACTATAATACATGACTTTGTACTGTACTGTGTCTAACGTCAAAACTCATGGTTTCAAAAAATAATCCAGTTGACAAATACATCTATACGTCACTCGAAATACGACTTGGACTGGGTAAATGAGTATGGGGTTACTTTTGTCTCATTAATATTCACAAATGCACAGATGGTGATCTACAAATAGTCATTGATTTGTACATGTGTTTTGATATCCACAAATGCAAAATAATATTTGTAATTTATTTTGGTATTTAACAAATAGATGTGTATTTGTAAATTTATCTTTGATCATTTGCAAAAAATAATTTAATTTGTAAACCTGAAAATTCAGTTTATAAAATGTGACTCGCACTTGTGGATCACCAGTTACACGAATCCACCGATTTCCGGTATGATGTAATTTTGAGACACTCGTTTGGAGGAATCCACAAACTCAGACAGATCCACAAATACAGACACGTAGTTGACCAGCAAGGGGCAGCAGCTGGCACACCAAACATTTGACACTGCTGAAATGGAAGCGTCTCTTGCTAACATAACGTTACTTAGGCTAATGTTTACCTTTATCAAACGCCTCATCAGCTGAGGACTAAACCAGAACTGAAGCCGAACTGAACTAGGAATAAAACAGGACTAAAGCAGAACCGAGTGTCTGAACGACCCAGAGTTGTGTCCGCACAGACCGTCGGGTGACTGCGCGGACACAGTCCTGGCTCAGAGCTCCATACCCCGTGGGGCTAAACGCAGCCACCACC